TTACAGTGCTTCCCAAAGATAACGTGCTGATGCATGCCACCAATTGTACCTGCTGGGAATAGTCTTTAAAAGGCGCGAGGGGTCGTAAATGACATCTATATGGGTGGAACATTCCACATATTACGCAAAGATAACAGATCGTGAGTGGGCACCTTGCATCTTCGCAGAGAACAAAACATATGGGAATACAGTCGCCATTGGCATCTGATGTCCACCATCAAGAAAGTTTTGTCGGAACGACCTACAATCTACCCAACTCTGCACAATCTCTTCATATGAACCATTCTCAGCCGCCATGTTAGCATCTCCTAAGTTATCGCTCTGCTTTTTCTAATGACGAATGTTTCACTCACTCTGTTTTTACCGTTTCCTTCTTTATTTTAAAGTGTAATCCCCCCTATTTTGTACCCCATCAACTCTAAAATATTTTTTTTTTGAAAATCTGTTTATTGAAGTATAACAGTGGTATCAAGTCGGCTCGCAGGCCAGGTAGAGATGCAATATTTCAGATAGCAAAAAGATAAACGTTAAGGTTCAAGGTTCAATGAAATACAAGCAAACATAACATGTCGTGAAGTGGTTTGAGGTTTCGAGTTCTTGGCTGTGTATATGCATTGTGACATCTATCCCCTGTGAGAAGGTGCAGTGGGAGTGCTTCGGCCTAATATAGTGTATCCATATATGTAGACACAGATACGTGTGTGCTCATAACGTACCACATTACTTATCACATTCACAGCGGGCGATACAGGTATATATGTTGTAAGCAAAAAGAGAAGGGAATATACACCAAGCTATAACAAGTTCAAAGAATTAATGTACATGTGTGTATTCTCAACGTGTGGCCACTCAGGAGTCAGGCAGCGCTCGTGTTCGTAGTCCGTGTGGTTTAGGTAAAGCGAACCTAACTTATGTACATTTGCCCCCCAAGGAAGCATAGGTTAAGTCATACAACACCATGTCATAGGAAAGGGGGCTATTTGGTCTCGTGGTGAGGGTCTGCCGATTCGAGTCAGGGAAATCAGAGTGGTGATGGTTTATGGTCAGGGGTGCTGTCGAGTCTAGTCGGGCGTGTGTGCTACAGGGTCGGGGCTGGGACTTCTTCCGCATCGTGGATGCGTATGAGATAGGCTTCTGTGTGTGCAATGGCGCTTAAGTATCTTTTTCCGTTGTGATTATCAGCCCATTCCTTGTCACTTCCCGACCCTAATGCCCCCACCCATTATCTCCTCTTGTGAGTAACCATATCCCAAGATCCAAGTTAGAAGCAGAGACCGACCATTCCCCCGTGACCACCACCTGCAGCAGAGCTCGAGAGTTGTATGGTATATTTCCCTATCCCCATGCCGTCTGAGAGTCCCCGTGCCGTATGATCGCATCAATATTTGTGCCCTATCGGGGGCGACTAACTCTGTTACATGTACGTGTAGCGGTACCTATCCGTCGAGTGATACGGTGTAGGTCGCGTTCCATTCAAGGAACAACCAGAGCAGTACCCTTCCCTAGTGATGGGGTTAGCAATCAGGTTCCAGGATCCTTTATCAAGCCAGAGTCCAGAGTCACTATCTGTTGGTGTCAATGTCTGTCATAATATGTATGTCGTCATCTACCTGTCCTGTATTCGTCCTGTCAGTCCCGATCCCAGGCGGACCGGACCCCTGACGACTCATTACATAGAGGGAGAGGAGAAAGTTAAAAAGGGGGGGGGCATTGTAACCTGAGCAGCACTTCCTCGAGCGTCCGCTTCCTGTCGGTGTTCGGCAATATATAAGAACCACGGGGTCCACATTTCAGCATGCTTGGCTTCTCGGCCTGTGATGATGGCATGGGCTTCTTCTGCCCCCTGGATCTCTTCCACCCTGCGAATCCATTCCTGTTTAGTCGGTACCGCGGTCGACTTCCAATGGGCCGGGATGTTCGCTTTGGCGGCATTAAGCAAGTGTCGTAAAATCGACTTCTTGTACACCGAGATGGGTTGAGTGGAGATGTGTAACAAGGCCAATTCCGCGGTCCAGTCCGGGACGTCTCCCATGATAAGCGTCACCGTGGTTTTGACCATTTCCCAGTAGGGAACAACGACTCTGCACTCCCACCAGATATGGGATACCGTGCCAATTTCGTCTTGGCATCTCCAGCACTCCGGGGGGTGAGATGGACAAATGCGATGTAAAAATACTGGCGTCCTATACCAAAGGGATATGAGTTTGTAATTCAGCTCTTGGTAGTAAGAGCTCATAGAGCTCTTATGTTGCCATAGCAATGCTAGATCCCACTGTTGGGTGGTAAGTGTTTTTCCTAGCAGTCCTTCCCATTGCCGTTTAAACGCCACCTGGGTAGGTGTGCCTCCGGTCAGCAGATGTTGATACAGAGTCGAAATTGCGTGATCGAGGGTGACCCCCTGGTCACAGAGTTTTTCGAACCACGTAAGGTCCCTGCATAAACGTTCGTTGTGCGGTAGTGATGCGTGGAAGTGTTTCAATTGTAGGTACCGGAGTTGTAAAAGAGGTGTCCGCGGCCTGCCTGCCAACAGTGAGGGAAGATCCCGCAATTTTCCGTCGGCGAGAACCGTATATATAGGTACATATTCGCGCGTACTCTCAACGGGCCATGCTCCCACTGGGAGCCCTCCACCCAATTCTTCATTATGCGTGATCGGCAACATAGGGCTGGGTATCGGAGACACATGCTCCTGCCCTCTCAGTGCTTGCCAGCCAAGCAAGGTTTGTAGAGTCAGTCCCTCATCAGCCGCCAAGGTGTTCCGTCTCCGAAGCCTCCCCCAGACCTTCGCTTCCAGTGACCGGCCCGTGAGACCTCTATCCAGGACCACCCATTGTTTAGTTGTTGATGTTAGGTGCCAGTCCATTATGCGTTGGAGTACCGCAGCCTGATGATACCTTTTAAAATCAGGTAGTGCCAGCCCGCCTTGCGTCCTAGGTCGACATAGGATATCATGTCGTAGTCGAGATCGACCTCCACGCCAGACATAGTGAATCACCCCCGTTTTTAGGGCCGAGAAGAAAGTCGCTGGTATGGCAAGGGGTATTGTTTGCATGAGGTATAAAACCCTCGGAAGGATATTCATTTTGATCACAGCCACCCTGCCGTGCCACGTGATATGCGGGTGTGACCAGCTAGTCAGGTCCAACAGAATTTTCTTTAGGAGGGGTGTAAAATTGCAATCATACATATCCTTCGGTTCCGTGGTTACCCAGACGCCTAAATACTTAATCTTGCCATAGCACCAGCGGAACGCGAATTGCGACTCCAGGGAGTGGAAGTCCTCCGCGGGGAGCGAGACGTTCAACGTCTCACATTTTGAAATATTAAGTTTGAAGCCAGATATCCGTCCAAATCTACTGAATTCCGAGAGGAGGCAAGGCAATGTGACTCGAGGGTTGTGGACGAAAAAGAGGAGATCGTCTGCATAAGCAGCTACCTTGTGTTGCACATCCTGCCATGTGTATCCCATGATGTCCGGGTTTTGCCTAATCGCTTGTAGGAGGGGTTCCAGTTGGAGCGCGAACAGCAGTGGCGAGAGCGGGCATCCCTGCCTGGTGCCGTTGCGAATCGTGAAGTCGGCGGTTGTGGCACCGTTAATCCGCACTGTCGCTCTGGGATCTGTGTATAGGGCAGAAATCCATGATAGAAGCCTTTCTCCGCAACCTTGCCATTTCAGCGTCTCCATCATATACGTCCAGTTGACTCGATCAAATGCCTTTTCCGCATCTGTCGACAAAAGCATTAATCGGGTCCCACGTTTCTTAGCATGGTGTTGGATAGCGAATAGCCTCAGTGTGCTATCTCTGGCTTCCCTACCAGGGATGAAACCCGTCTGGTCTGCGTGTATCAAGTCAGGCAAAAGACGTTTCAAGCGGGTCGCTAATACCTTTGTAAACAATTTGGAGTCAACATTAAGCAACGAGATCGGGCGATAGCTGCCACATTGTAGAGGGTCCTTCCCTGGTTTAAGAAGTACGGTGATGGTAGCCGCCACTGATTCCCTGCCCAAGGTCTCCCCCTCTCCCACTGCGTTGAGAGCATCAGTAAGCCGTGATAAAAGCAGTCCCGAGAAGCTTTTATAATATCCTAGGGAGAAGCCATCCGGGCCAGGTGCTTTACCGGTTTTGGACGTTTTAAGAGCTGCTGCTATTTCTTCCACACTGATTGGTGTGTCTAGCATTGCCGCCGAGTCCCGATCCATTACGTTCAAGACCGTTTCAGATAGATATGCATGTATCGTCGAGCGATCCCGATCAGCCTCAGCTCCTGCGGTGGGCGGGTATAGGTTATAGAGTTTCTCATAAAAAATCCTGAATTCCTCTGCGATCTTTTCGGGGAAGGGGGAGATTTCCCCCGTGGTCAGGCGTATCTGGCGGATTTGTCTATGAGGTACAGGGCCTTTCAAAAGTCTCGCAAGATATTTGCCGCCTTTATTGGCATGGGCATAGTAAAAGCCTTTAGTGCGTTGCACCGACCTGAGATGTCGTTTCAGTAGAAGTGCTTTGAGTTTCCTCCTATGCTCCATTAGGTCACCGTATACCGCATTCAATTGGGATCTTTTGTGGCTACGTTCCAATGTCGAGATAGCTTGGTGTAATTCAGTCAGTTCACGCATGACCGCTTTCCGTTTCTGTGAGGCAAGGCGTATTATGGTGCCGCGGATCACGCTCTTGTGTGCTTCCCAGAGAGAGATCGTGGAAATATCCGGGGTATCATTCTCCAGGAAATATTGCTCCAATTCCCGACGTATCTGTTCCTTGATGTTCGGATCCAACAGTAGAGCTTCATTTAGTCTCCAGTTCCATCCCGTTGGTTTGTATAAGGGGGAGGTCAATTCCATCTCGACAGAGCCATGATCCGACCAAGTGGCCGGGGTGATGTCCGCTCCCAGTAGGTGTGTAAGGCCCTCTCGAGCGATAAAGAGATAATCTATACGGGAATAGCGGTTGTGGAGCGCCGAGTAATAGGTGAAGTCCTTCACCGAGGGGTGCAGCGCCCTCCAGCAGTCTACCAATCTCAAATCCTCCATCGATTGTCGGATGGATTTGATAGTGCGCTGCGACATACAACTATGTCCCGTCGAGGAATCCAATATCGGGTCCAGTGGGGTATTAAAATCTCCTCCTGCAATTAGGATACCATCCGAAAATTCTTCCAACTGTTGAAGAGCGTTGCGAAGAAAGGGAGCCTGCCTCTTGTTTGGTACATAGATGGAGGCTATCGTGTAAATCTTGTTAGCTATAACTCCTTTAAGGAAGAGATACCTTCCTAGAGAATCCTGCATCCGGTCCAATTCTTCAAAACCGATGTCAGCTGCTAGGAGAATGGCCACACCGGTTTTGTGTGACATGGGATGGTTGCAAAAATAGTTACTGGGGTAATGTCGATTTCTTAACCTAGACTGTGTCCCCTCTTTGAAGTGAGTCTCCTGGAGTAAGGCAATAGAGACATGTTTTTTCCTCAGTTCTCTCAGCAGGTGTGTCCTGCGCTCTGGCACGTTGAGACCTCTGCAATTCTGCGTCACAATCTTCAGTGGAGCTTTACGGTAGGCCATGATTACTGGCTCTATCAGTGATTAAAGCACCGTGAGGCTCCGAGGAAGGCTCTCAATCGGTGGTTCAGTTAGTACAATGTATGAGTGGGGGAAAAAGGGAAGGGAAGTAGGGGAAGGGAGGTAGAGAGAGCTGAGTAGAAAGGAAATGTGATAGGATGGAGAGTGAGTCAGGAGCCGGCGTCCCGGGTGCGGGACTGGCTATCCCTATGTCAGTTAAAAGGAGGTGTGTATCCCTATCGGCGATACCCTCTCAGAATTTGGACTAGGTCCAAATCTATGCCCCCCCTCCAGGGTGGGGGTGGGGGTTATCTCGTGCAGCAACCGGCACTAGTGGCGCCTCGTTCCGGTACCAGCCCAGGAAGCCGAAGCACCCCCTATGCGGCCACACCACGTGTAGCACGAGCGTATGGGTGTAGAAGAGTGTCTCGAGCTCCGCCCAAATGAAATCTCACGGAGAAATAGTAGGCAACCGCCCCCAACCGCCCCCTCAACGCTATGCCTACAGGGCGAGAAGGTCCCCAGTATAGGGCTTCAGTAGAAAAGATACATAAGCGTCAGGCGCTAGGTAGGCGGAAAATGTACTGATTGAGTCTGGAGTAATCTAGCTGTGTCTAGAGGAACCCACCATTCCCCAGGCATCCCCCCTCCACAGGGTGCCTCCGAGCAAACCCCTCCGGGCATGTCCTGAACGTCCCCCATCCACCCGTGGGCCAGGCGTGTAAGGCAGTGATGATCAGGTGACATTTGTCTGGCCCCTCAGAGCATTAGCATATAGGGGGACCCGTAACCATGGAGTCCCTGATATCCCTGGTCATCCCGGGGTGTCCCCCCGCAGTCACTTCCTCAGGTCCACCCAGTGCAGGACCGTGTAGCGCCTGTCCCGTTCATTGCTGTGTGGGAAGCCATGTCTCCAGGGGGGGAGTGGGAGGAGGTGAGGGGTAAAGGAGGGAGGGGAGGGATGGAGGTGAGCGAGGAGGAGCCAGAACCTGAATGCTCGTGCGTTAGTCAGTGGTAGGGAGTGGGCCTCTCAGGAGGAGTTCCTGTGAGTGCAAATGCCAAGAGTGTAAGTAATAAACAACCTGTAAATGTACTCCGTGATATCTTATGAGTGTATCAACAGTAACAAACTGGAGCATTGAACAATTGCATTTAACGTGATGTACATAACAGTGCATGGCAGCAAATAGATACATGCAGTGAAGTAAATACGACCATATCTCCCCCCACGATCCCCCCCACCCCCCAACAGAGCCCCCAGCAACCCATAGCCCAACAGTGGATCCAACATTCCACCTGAATCCCAGCAGTGAGGAGTCCCAGAGTGTCAGCAATGTTAGCAGTGAGATGATCGCAGAGCGGGAAGCTACATCGCGAACCCAACTCTCCCCCACCCAAGGATCCATCAGCCCGCCCCACAGTAGGCAGCATCACCGATCTGGAAGCCACGGGTCTCGCTGTGTGGGAGTAAAGTGGAACAATAAGCCCACCCACCCGGAGATCCCCCACCCCAACCGTCAACAAAATGCCCCAAAGTACCTCTGGGTGCACTGCATGTGGATCTTGCTCCTCATGGGATGGTCGAGGTAGGCGTGGATGAGGATGCGGCGTGGAACTCCGTTCCCGATCAAAAAGAAGGGCCCAAGGCGTGTCGGCAACGGTGTCCTGAGACATGGGCCGGGACCGCCAGGGATCACGTGTTGGAGAGTGTCATGTGGTTACCTGCAATAGGTGGAGGAAGGCCCAATCATTCCTCCGGAGATGTCGGCCTCCCATGACGTCCGGGGTGAGAGGCAGCAGGATCATCCGCAGCCCGCTGTCTTGGTTCTCTCCGTGGTCTTGGGGGTGGGCCCAGCGAGCCCAAGATCCAGTTGGGGACCCTCTGCAGTGGGAGGCCCAGCTCCCTCAGGAATCCCGGCACCTCCTCCGGCCACCTCAAGGTAATCCAGCGGTTCTGATGCCTTGCCATTAAAGTGAAGGGGAAGCCCCATTTATAGACCACATCATGGTCTCTCAGTGCTGCCGTGACAGGGCGGAGAGCTCGCCGGGCATCCAGGGTGATGGGGGATAGGTCATTATAGAGGGAGACCTGAGCTCCCCGGAAGGGCCAGGAAGGCCGTTCCCGGGCTTTTGTCATAATGTCATTCTTCACCGGGAACGAGCTTAAACAGCAAATAAGGTCCCTTGGGCCATCTCCCGCATTCCTAGGGCGTAGGGCCCTATGAGCTCTGTCAAATTCAATGTGTGGTAACAGTGTCGGCAGCATGATGGAACGGAAGAGCTCCTTAAGGGTGTTTTGCGCATCCTCTGCCCCCTCCACCTCAGGTACACCCCGAACACGAATGTTGCATCGCCGACCTCTGTTATCCACATCTTCGAGGTGGCGACGCATATTCAGCAGCAACTCGCCCTGCCTGGCCACAGCATTGTCTGTGGACGCCACGCGGGCCGTGAGGGCCGCATCCGCCTCCTCCAACGCGGTAATGTGGCCTGCTTACTTAATCCACCAATCAGAGTGTTATGAGTCAAATTACACAGCGTGGGAAAATTCCACAGAACTTTCCCACGCTGTGTAAAATGACACAGAGCACTCTGATTGGTGGATTTCAAACCAACCAATCAGAGTGCTGTGACAGGTAAATGTAGAGACTTACCTGTCAGTCCCTTCATTTACCTGTCAGAGCACTCTGATTGGATGGCTTAAACCCACCAATCAGAGTGCTCTGAGCCTAATTGCAGGGCGGGGCAAGGCTTTATAAGCCTTCCCCCGCCCTGCAGAGCTCAGTCTGCGCGGAGCCCTCACCGGGTGAAGATGGATTATTATTTTTTTGCGCTCGTTTTTTTTTTTTTTTTTTTAATTGCGTCGGTTATTATGGTTTTTTATTTGGCCTTTTTTGGGGCTGAAAAAAGAAGATTTAGAAGAAAGAAAACATCGAATGGTAAGTTGTTTTTTTTTCTTTTTACAGGTACTTAGTTAAAGGTGCCCCCCCTTATTATTTTTAGGGTGAGGGGGGTAGGTAGGGGGATAATGTTTTTTTTGGGGGGGAGGGGGTGACTAGGGGTTTGGGGACCCCTAGTCACCTGGGGGGTGGGGGGGGAAATTTTTTTTAGGGCCCCCACCCGCCGCTCAGGGGTGGGGGCCACGGGGGGAGGACCTTAGGTCCCCCCCCCTTTTAGTATTTAGGGCCCCCACCCGCCGCTCAGGGGTGGGGGCCAGGGGGGAGGACCTTAGGTCCCCCCCTTATTCCAATTTAGGGCCCCCACCCACAGCTCAGGGGTGGGGGCCAGGGGGGAGGACCTTAGGTCCCCCCCTTATTCCAATTTAGGGCCCCCACCCACCGCTCAGGGGTGGGGGCCAGGGGGGGAGGACCTTAGGTCCCCCCCCCTTTTAGTATTTAGGGCCCCCACCCGCCGCTCAGGGGTGGGGGCCAGGGGGGAGGACCTTAGGTCCCCCCCTTATTCCAATTTAGGGCCCCCACCCACCGCTCAGGGGTGGGGGCCAGGGAGGAGGACCTTAGGTCCCCCCCTTATTCCAATTTAGGGCCCCCCCCCACCGCTCAGGGGTGGGGGCCAGGGGGGAGGACAGTAGGTCCCCCCCCTCATTATTTTTATGGCCCCCACCCACCGCGCAGGGGTGGGGGCCGGGGGGGAGGACAGTAGGGCCTCCCCCCCATTGTAATTAATGGCCCCCACCCATTGCACAGGGGTGGGAGCCAATAGTTTTTGTTTTGTTTTGTTTTTTTTACAGTGAGCAGCCACTGGCTGCTCACTGCTTACTAGACATGCCCCTACTCGCTGCATAGCGAGTAGGGGCAGATCATTTACTAATACTAAGTAATCTTTACTTAGTATTAGTAAATGTGGCTGAAAGACCAATATAGGTCTTTCAGCCTTTTAGTAGATAACTCCCTAATACCGTGGGAATTAGGGAGTTATCTACTAAGCTGCTGCAAGATGCAGCCGCGGATCGGAGTTTACATGCCACAGTCCAGGTGTTAGTCCCCTTGAAACATCTTGTGTGTTTTAAAATTCGCCTGTCTATTGAAGTCTATGGCGGTTCGCCCAGTTCGCGGGTTCGCGAACATTTGCCGAAATTCGCGTTCGCCGTTCGCGAACCGAAAATCTTATGTTCGCGACATCACTAGTCTCCTGTATTGCAGCTGTGTTGGTTTGTAGGTCAGTTTTCGTGGCCATAGCCGCAGTCATTTCCCTGAGGGCACCTTCAATCCTCTCCAGTGCGTCATTAGCAGCGGCCTGATTCGGCTCCGACGCCATCTTGGGACTCATGGGACCACCGCTTGCTCCGGGCTGTGGCTGGAAAAAGCCGTCAAGAGGTCCCAGCTGGGGTCTGGGGGTGCTCCGAGCGTTTTGTATGCCACATGAATGCAAATATGCCGCTGATTAATGCTGTAACGGGGGTTCGGCGGAGCGGAGCTCACTCCTTATGCGGCCATCTTAGACGGAGCCGAAACCACGCCCCTGAACAAAAATATTAATTGAGGCAGTCAGCTGGATGTTTATCCTCTTCTACATATATTCCTTCTTTTGTTTTTAATCTAACTAATCCTTGTTTTACTTTCCTTTTCTGATTTATGTATCTAAAAAAATGTTTTGTCCCCTGTTTTACTTACTGTGCTATACAGGTGATACTCAAAAAATTAGAATATCGTGCAAAACTTAATTGATTTAAGTAATACAATGTAAAAGGGGAAATTAATATATGAGATAGACGCATTACATGCAAAGCAAGACAGTTCAAGCCATGATTTGTCATAAGTGCAATGATTATGACTTACAGCTCATGAAAATCCCAAATCCACAATCTCAGTAAATTAGAATATTGTGAAAAGGTGCAATATTCTAGGCTCACAGTATCCCAATCTAATCAGCTAAGTAAGCCATAACACCTGCAAAGGGTTTCTGAGCCTTTAAATGGTCTCTCAGTCTGGTTCAGTAGGAATCACAATTATGGGGAAAACTACTGAACTGACAGTTGTGCAGGA